AAGGTTTAATTTTCCATTTCAATGCACGGCGGCTGCGCTTTGGATTTTTACTCTCGTTTTTCATTGCGCGTCGCGCAGCATCGCGTCGCTTCGTCTACAGCTTGACTTTTCGCTATAGTTGTTGTATTTAGCTATAGTTTTAGCTATAGTTTTTAGCTTGGGTTAACTGTTAGCTCGTTGCGGTTGATTATGCTTTGCTCCTAGCGCGGACCACAAGCGTAACCGAAGCCACTCGCTGATTATGTGGATGACAAAGATGATGACGATTATGATGATGATAATGATGATAATGATCATGCTGATGGCGATGATTAAGTTGCTAATGCTGACTGCTGCTTGGCGTTATAATTATGCAGCTGCAGGCTAATGACCAAGTTGGTGGACACTCAAAACAAGTTGATTGACTGCTAGATACTCTGTAGTATAAGGGAAAAGAGGGGCTAATAAGATGGCATGTGCACTTTTATGATGTATCAATTGAAAAGTATTAGCTGCTAGATATCCTGTAAGCAGAAGAGGATTAACTTATCCTGCTAGATAGCTTGTAAACAGGAGATATGACAAGAAGACGAGTTTGTATAGGAAAATGAATGCTTATTTAATTGAAGGAGTAGGTGAAGATATTGCCTGACTGCTAGATACCTTGTAGACAAATGGACTGAAAAGAGAATTGATTTGTATAGATTAACTATTAGATAATTATAAGAACAAATAGCAAGCCTGTTGGATACTACATAAATTGAGCAAAGACGCTAGTTGTAGAGATATTCCCTGATTTAGGGATTCTTACACTCTCACTCTTACTCTTAAAGAGAAAAAGCTTTTACATATATCATTTCTGGCTGCTATATAAACAAATACAAAAATATCTTATCGAGCCGAATGTTCTTGACAATTATTTATGGCACAAGCGATGAAAGAGTTGAAAGGGCATTTTTCAAAATATCAATTACATTTTCTTCAAGATAGGCTTATTCTGAAATGGAAGAGAACAAAGCAATGATGAGCTTTCTTCTTCAGACTCTAAAGTGCAATCATTTCGTTTAGTGGTATTTCCAAGTCTTATCAATGAATTTGATATAAGACTAGATATAGTAGAACATAATCAAAAGGTGTCAATTTATCCATTGAATAAAAGTAGCTTTGAGGTAAAGTCTTCACGCCTAAAGGAACTTCTACTTAGTCAGCAAATCTAATGATATATAAATTTATGCGATCTATAGCGTAAAGCCAAAGACATTCCATCATTTGCCGTCTGTCACTTTCTCAGCTGCTCAGCAGCTATGCCAGTAAATATGATACTCCTCTTCAACTACCTGTTTGAGGGTATATACATAATCATAAGGCTGCTGCCGCTCTTGATGCCTGCGGCTGGGGGCGAGAGGCGGTGCGGCTGCTGTGAGCCGGCTTTGATGATGGGTACGGTGTGATCCATTTTGAGCATGACCAAGCTAATCTCTTCGTCCAAGTATTGTCAACGGCTTTGTGGGGGCTGATTATGCTGGCTTGGCATCAGCTTGAGCTATGCGGCTACCAAGATAGGCAACATTGCTGCTGCTGCTGCTGTTGTTGTTGTTGTTGTTGTTGCCTGTCGACATCTTCCACTGGACATTTTCCAATCTGGAGCGTTGCCAGTTAGCTGTTGTTGTTGTTGCTGTTGTTGCTGTTACTGTTATGTGTCGCTGTCTGTTTGTCTGCCTGACTGCGTTTTTCGCGGTTTTACAACTTTGATTTCACTTTTCTTTGCAACATGCGACGTTGTTGGTTGTTTGCTGTTGTTGTTGTTGTTGTTGTACCTTCACTGGCCGTTTTTTGAACTGTTTGCTTCATTGCTCTCGTTGTCGTCGTCGTCGTCGTCGTCGTTGGCTCTGCTGTCGGTCCGCTTAAACTTTGTTACTCTTTAATTGGTTTTTTTTCTTTCGCTCCCCATCATCATCTGCTTTGGGCATCCGTTTTTTTTTTTTTTTTTTCTTTCATTAATGATGATGCAGTTGGCTGGCCAGAGCGTTGGCCATAATTGTCAACCACTTTTGCACGTTAGCCACAAATTATAAACACATCGATATGCAATTCCATTTGAAGAGGTTTCCATGCCGCGTCTTTTCGCTAATTGAAAATTGCCGGGAAAAGGCGTTAAAATATTTGCTGCTTTCATTTAAGGGAACCCAATATGCAGACAGATTTT